ACTCTTAAATATCTTTTTTTTTGGGTGGTTTTTTTAATTTTATTTTTTAAATAGCGTTATGGCCATATGTTACTTAGCTTTAATAAATAAGTGATAGCAGGAAAATGTCCATAGTTTAATAGGTTCTTGTGTATCAGTACGAAATATTTCCTACCTACATCTCCCTTCATGCACGTGGTGGCATCTCCCGTGTCCTCTCCCCTTACGTTACCCACCAGATGAGCAAGAGAAAGACGAAGTCAACTTTTTCCCCCCTTTCTTTGGATTGATTTTTGCCATGTTGCTTGATATTTGCCCATATCTTTGTGACTTAAACTGCAGTTCCGGAGCTCGGGAAGCCTCCTTGATTGATAGCACCAACACGAGAAGGCACCGAGCTAATTAAATCACGCTGCCGCTTCCCAACACTACTGTCACAGCCTGACCTAATTCTGACACTACAAAGCTTATCAGCAGAGTATCTATTGAATTAGGGGAACCATAATGCTGTTTCTAGGAACAGATAGATTTATTTAATTTTTTTTCTCCCCTTTACAAGTCATTACGCTGCTGTTTATTGTTCCTCCTGCTGGGCAAGTCTCAGTCTGTCCTCATAGGAGAGGTGCTCCAGCCCTCTGACCATCTTTGTGGCCCTCCGATGAACATGGGCTGAGACCCTTGTCTCTTTTAAGGTCTTCTTTCTTATTTAAAGTGATTTGGAGTACTAAAGTGGTCCCTTGGACCTCATGAGCTGGCATAATCTTGCTCTCCTGCTAATTGCAGTGAGCTGCTGCAGCCCTCTGAAGCTGGCAGGGACCCAGTTTGGTGCTGGTGAAGCACAAGAGCAAACTCTTGCTAAGGTTTTGTGCTTTAGTTTCTTTGCTGTTTTGGGTCTGGTGCATCCAAGTCCAGGCATGTAGATCCAGCATGAATCAATAGATATCAAAAAGATGGAGGTTCTGGGGACATGTAGAAAAAGAGGAGGAAAAAGGCTTCATCTTCCACCTGTCAATGGAAGACCAAGAGGCTGAGGATGGTTTGTGTAGAGGTTCAACCCTTTTATAAAAAAAAAAAAATAAAATAAATCCATTGTGCTTCAATCTGTCTTTAATGGTGTTATAAAGTCACATGTGAAGAAATATCCCATGCCTCTTATAAAAAAAAAATATCTGTTGTGCTTCAGTCTGTCTTTAATTTAATGGTGTTATAAAGTCACATGAAGAAATATCCCATGGCCTAGAAACTTTTGAGATTTAACTTTGAAATATTGAATTAAATGCTTTGTCAATTCTTTATGTCTTCTGTTTTGAGCAGTTAGGAAATGGTGCAATCACAATTACATAGTCTTAAATATGTTTTCAGTTAAGAGCTGAAATGATCATTTATTAATTAGATTACAGCAGTTGAGCTTTTTTAGAAAAACACCAATTATTGTAAAAGTTGTGATTAAGGTCAGGAGATTTTCCAGCACAGACAGGCAGACTGGAGACCTCCAGTTGTCTGAGGTTTCTTATTCACACCAGAGCTCCAAAAAATGATGAAGCATCTCCTTTCTGAGTTCTATATGAAGTCTCACTTGTTTATCTGTTTTTTTGCTTTTTCTGGGTGACCAGCTTGGCTTGAAAACAAAAAAACAACTTTTTTTTCTACTTACTTCTGCACAGCTTTAGAAAATAAATTTTATTCTGCATGTTTCCTTCAAAGTTAGTTATCATTCACAACAGCATCTCGTTTCTCCTTTGTCCTTTTTTATTACATCTGTCTCGATACCTGCATACATATTCAACTTCGGACATTTCTAATTTTGTCTTCATGGAAATTTTTATGACTTTTCCCCCCCAATCCCCCCCAGGTCTATACTGTCTGGGGAACTTGTTGCAAGTTGAAAGCTGATCTCTCGTGTAGGCGTGTTTGTGTGTGCAAGAGACAAGGAAGGGAAATAAATTGAAATTGCTGGGAAAGAGCAGCCAATAAAGGGGAGTGATGCGATGTCAATATATAACGAGATGCGTTGAAAGGTCAGGCTGGCACCATTTTTCATTTGAAAGAAGATATCTCATGGCCCATGAGATTCTTTGCAGCAGAAGCTTGGTGGGGTTGGGCTTGGTTTTGTGGCTATGGTTTTCCTTCTGACCTGACGCTTTCCTTGCTTGGACCAGCACCACGATGGATTCCTTCCTGCAGTATTTACTGTCTGTAGTCACAGGACAAATTCTTCCCAAATGCCACAAACAAAATAAATGCCAAGTATATATTACCGTAATGTCTCGCCTGGTATTAAATCCTCGGAGATGTATTTCAGAAGCAGCTGTAGTGAGTATTCCTGCAGCAGAGAGGGAGGTGGCATTTCATAATTACGCGATATCTTCTGAACCATAAGACTTTAAAACTTAAAGAAGTAAGAATTTTTTTTTATTTTCCTTTATTTGTTTGATGTCCTCTTAAAGCAGTGTATTCTTTTGCCATAATAATACACAGAGGGGTATTTTTTCTTTTCTGTATCGCCTTCCCAGACCTAATGGCTATGGAGCAGTGGCATAGACATGAAAATGAAGGACACTTCAACTGTAATTTGAAGTTATATGAATATAATATGAATGTAAATGTAATATTAATGTAATATGGATTTAAAAGGCAGCAGGATGTTGGCATAATGTTGCTGACTCTTCTAATTTTACCAGAAGTCTCCTGATATGTGCTGAACCTTCTTTTACCTTTATGCTCTATGGTTCTGCTTTAGCATTTCATTATTTGTGCTGTGGGAGATGCTCGAAGTCCCAGTGGTGGCCCAGAGCCCTCTTGTACAGCGGCTGAGCGTGGCAGGACAAGGAGGATGCTCCATGTCCCACAAAGTTGAAGTCCTGAGGCATATGGAGGAGGAGCAGCTCTCCTTGCCCAGGGAAACCCGCAGTACTCCGAGCATTAATGCTGTTGCTCTATTTAGAAAAATATAATAATAGTTAAGAATCAACAGTTTCTTTTAAGGTGTGACACATGGGACTGACTCCTAGACAAGGCCATCTCTGTCCTTGGAGGAGGGACAGTGAGCTCCATGAATCAACAGTTTCTTTTAAGGTGTGACACACTGACTCCTAGACAAGGACATCTCTGTCCTTGGAGGGAGGGATAGTGAGCTCCACGGAAAGAGCAGCCTGGAACGATGCTACCAAGGGAAGGAGAGTTTTGAGTTGTTCAGCCTGGAGAAGAGAAGGCTCCAGGGAGACCTTGGAGCCCCTTCCAGTCCCTCAAGGGGCTCCAGGAGAGATGGGGAGGGACTCTGGATCAGGGAGGGGAGCCATATGACGCCTTCCAGTCCCTCAAGGGGCTCCAGGAGAGATGGGGAGGGACTCTGGATCAGGGAGGGGAGCCATAGGACAAGGAGGAAGGGTTAGTCCCTTGGTTAGTCTTGAGTGGCCCCACAAAGCTGTTGTCTCTGCTGATCTGATGGTCTTCCAGACCTGTGTCACACCAGTAATGAAGGAGACCTCCATCCATCCCCTGCATGAGCTCTTCTGTCTGCTCCATGCTCAGAGAAGTTTCTCTGAGGACTGATTTCTTAAACGCTCACTGGAGAGGTTACCCTAGGCCAGGCACATTGAAAAATGATCTAAATATAGTAGACTGAGGTGGACGGGGGTGATGGAAGGTAGCTGGGAATATCAGCCTTAGTCATTACAGCTTGAAATAATTATTCTCTCCCTATTCATTTTGTTGACCTGACGCTGTCCCGTTCAGGGTCCTTTGCTTGAGTCCTATTTTCTTCACCCTCTGAAGAGTGAGGGTCAGAAATTTGGATGATTAGCAGGCTGATATCCAGCGTAGGCGTTGTGCAGCACTTGGTACCACAAGGGCTGTGTCAGCTGGGAGCTCTCTGTGGGTTGGACACAGGTGGGAAGGTGGTGGGGAGGTTCTGTAGGGGTGCCAGAGAGATGCACCTCAGGAATCCCACGTGGGTGTTAGCCAGAAAATTGGAAATTGATGAAAGAAGCTGTAGTCTGGTGCGAGAGGGAGGTGATGTGCAGCACAGAGCCATGGAAATGGGGCCGTGGACGTGTGTGGGTGGTTGCTGCTGGTGGAAGGGATGAAGGGGAGATCACACGGATGCTTTCCCAGCTCCACAGGACTCTTGCCCATGGGAAATGGGGCTGGGAGCTCTAGGGCTTTGAGCTCTGTTGGGCTCCGCTCTAATTGTTCTCCTTTCTGGTTGAGATTTAGGACTTTGATTAGGATTTTAAGGTTTATCCACTTTTGCTAAACAGGAGCAACGTGCTGTTGAGCAGAGAGGGTGAAATACCGGGTCTTTAAAAGTCGCCAGAATTACCTTTTATCTCATCTGCTGTTTAGTTTACATTACTTTATTTGGCAGTAGAACTGTAACTTAACTCAAACTCAACTCAAAGCAATAAAAAAAAAAAATCATAGAGCCAGGAGTGTTCTTTGGAGACTTGTCGACACACAGCAGTAATTTGTATTTGTGGTATTAGCAACAACATTGCAGTTTTCCTACATGTACAACATGTAAAATGGCATAACATCCTGTACTTCAGGTTGCATAGACAAGAAAATTAAAGTAAGGTTTCTGCTTGAACTTAACCCCCGTGGTCCAAATCCTGATCCCTCTGACTGCGACAGGATTTGGGTACTGACGTTCAAAGTCAGCAGCATCCGTTGCGCTGTTTCTCCTGCTTAATTTTAAGGGTTTAATTGAGGCTTCTCATTTGCATAATGAGTGTGATAATGCATTTAGGAAGATATATAATAAAAAAGAACAATAATGCAGAGTTCATTTGGAAGCGGAAACAGAAATAACTGGAATGCAAATGAGCTTGTGGTGGTTTCGTGCCAGGGGATTGGTGGGCATTAATAAATACCATGGAAATCTCTTCTGGAGCCAAGGATGCGTATGTTGAGTAAGCGCAGGAGTATTTTCTGTGGGGAAAGTGCTCAGGTGCAGCTTGGGTCTTCTGTCTAGGGGTAGGTGAGGGTGCCTGGAGGTGGGTCTGAACAAGCCCCACAAAGGGATGCAGGAGATGATGCTCACCTGGTTTCTCTCTCTGGGTCTTGCAGCCCCCCCCACCGTGCGGATCGTGCACTCGGGCCTGGCCTGCAACATCGAGGAGGAACGCTACTCGGAGAGGGTCTACACCATCCGTGAGGGCGAGACACTGGAGCTGACCTGCCTGGTCACCGGCCATCCTCGGCCACAGGTGAGCCCCCGCCGTGCCCGCTGGTCACCCCACCTTTCCTCAGCCCTCTCTGTCTCTGAACCTTCTTGGGTTGGTTCCATCTTCTGCAAAGGACTACACTGGGGCGGGTTGGTAGAGCCCCGGCGGGAATTGTCCAGGCTGTTGGTTTGGTATTGGGATGTTGCAGAAGAAACATCAACAGCAGCAAAGTTTATGACTTTTTTTCTAATGACTGTCTAAAAGTGTGACATTAAAATCAGTGGGTTAATGCTGATCTTTAACATGAGGTCCTGGTATGCGAGTGTTTGAGGTGCACGGAGGTTGGTAGAAAGAAATGAAGAACAAATATGAGGACAGGGATGGCTGAACGTAGACAGTAGGCACCAGAGTGAACAGCTGGAGAAAGGGCACAGCAGAGCTTGTGGGGGTTGATGGTGTTGGTTGTCATTGGAAGCACAGCGTTACAGCCCTGCAGAAAAAAGACAGTAGGCACCAGAGTGAACAGCTGGAGAGGAGGTACAGCAGAGCTTGCTGGGGTTGATGGTCTTGGTTGTCATTGGAAGCACAGTGTTACAGCCCTGCAGAAAACAAACAAACAAACAAAAAAACCAAAAAGAAACTATACTTTTCCAGGTCTAACTCTGTTTTACAGCATCAAAGTCTTGCCAGCCTGTGCTACCTCTGCCCTGCTGCATTCTTCTGTCACCCCCCCAGATTTCCCCGGGGTACTCTGTTAACAGGGTACTTCAGATCAGGACCTTTTAAGACCTGTGGAAGTGCAGGGCTTTATTCTCCACCTGCTCTGCTTTTCCCTTTTCGATCTTTCCCTTGGCTCTTTGAGCCAGCCCCGCTCTCTGTTCCCTCTCCTGCCACTTTGCCTTCTGCTGCGTCCCCTCCTCTTCCTCCGCAGGGGACCGGGAGCTGCGGGTGCATCTGTATGAGCTGAGGCAACCACGTGTCGTACAGATTTGTGTGAGATTTTGAACACTAGACTGCCTTGCAAGGATTTTCTTGGCAAGGTGATGGATTAAAGACCTCCCTCTTGCGATGGCATGGGACAGGAGGGAGCTGTGAAGTACAGTTGGCCAAAGTGGGAGCTGGGGAGACGGGACGCACTCCAGTCTGCAGACGAGTGATGTTCCTCCAGGAAGGAGAGATGTGCTGATTCTCTGCCCTTTATTCCAGAGCTGTTCCCAGCTTAATGAGAAGATTTGAGAATAAAGAAGTTGAAGTTTAGCCTGTGCTGGTTCCAGGGAAGGCGTTAGGTCAGGATGTGTCGTAGAAAACTCTACTTTAACTGCACACAGTTGCACTCTCTCAGCTGCAGTCACACATTAAAGCCATGGTATAAAATAAGCCATTTTTCTTTTAAATTAAGTGATCTCTGTCTAGTCTTTGCCAGGTGAAGGAGAAAAAAGCCCTAAAAAAATATAAAAGGAAAGAAGAAAGGCTGGTCCAAGTGTCTACATGTTTTGATAACACCCCAAAATGAGAGCAGTGCTGTTTTGAGATGAGTGCTGTTGTCATGAAGTTTAATTTTTGGTGCCCCACAAGGTATAAAAAGTATTTATTGTCCTGCTCTTGTATTCTCTCCCGTGGCTGGTTGTCCTCTTCGCTCCGACGTTGCCCATGCCGTGGGACGTTGGTGGCTCATGGAATGTTGTCAGGGGAGATGACAGGGAGATGGTGGTGGCTCCTGGGTGGAAGGGCCAAGTGGGAGACTTTGGATTGATACAGCCTTGTTCACGAAAATTGATGGTAATGTTTTAACTGAAGCATGGGAGGGAGCACTTCCTGCCTTGAGGATACCCTGCTGCTTTTTTAGGTCATTTTTTATGGTGATATTAAAATTACGATGCTGTTCAACGTGGGGGAGATGGGATCTGCCCCGGGCTGGTGGCCTTCTCCAGCCACCTCTCTGAAACAAGTCCACGTCTCTCCGTGCCTGTTAGCAACCTTGGATTCATTCCGCCTTCCTGAACTTTTCTCATCCACACTTATTTAACAACTTTTTAAGATCCAAAGCAGCAGCTTTTGCGTGGCCATGCATTTGGGTGGAGGCAAGTAGGACATTCGTGTGGGCAGAAAAGAGCAGGATGAAGGTAGACTGATGCTTCTGGTGGGTCTTCCTTGGAGAATGTTTCTTTCTCAAACCATCTCCTCCATCTGCTCCAGCAAAGGTGTGAGGTTTGCTGGAGCTGAAATCAAAGATCCCTCTCAAACCTGCCTGCCCTGGAGGCTTGAGGCAGCTTCAAAGCGAGCGGGGCTGTTATCCATCAGGAAACACTTTGGACCAGTTATGAAAGGTGCCGTCTCGAGCAGTAACAAAGCTTATGATGCTGCCAAATCAAAAGAAAAGAAAATAAGTCTGTTCAACCAACACGTCTTATCAAGAAAGCAAACACACGGCTGCTTTTTTTTTTTTTTTTCATAAAAATCTCAATTTCCTCATCTGGGATTCAGGATGGAAAATTGATTTCTCTTCATTTTACCTGTTTATAGATTTTCTTTGTCAGCCGGCACCTGGGTCTGCTCTCACGCTCGCTCTCATGTTACAGCACTCTGAGACTCGAAATATTTTTTGCAGATTAATTGCTTGAGAGTAGGAGGGTAGTTTTGGTGGTCTTACTTCGATGGCTGATTCTTCATTGAAATACAGAAGGTTTGACAGGGCTGTGTTTGAATATTAATGTATTGTGGGGTAGAAAAGCCACACTGGTATGGTGGTGGTTCATGGAGCGAGGGCTAGGATCTTAGCATGAAAGTGGTGCCTCTCTACAGGGGTGTCAAGACCACCAGTTCCACCCATAAACGCGTGTGTAGTCCCCATTGCATGGAGACAGGAGGTGAACTTTGGGCTTCAGTCTTGACAAACGTTGTGCTGGTTCGTTAACGGGGCATTTGTTGCTGTTCTTGCTGAGCAAGGTCCAGGAGCCAGGCAGCGATGCTCGAGGGGAAAAAATCATTCAACACATAAGGCTGGGGTTAGTAACAGGCTTTATTTAGTGTCCTCAAAGCAAACCTGTGGAAGTACCTTCTGCAAACCTTGAGTTTGGGGAGAGAGGTATTTAAAAGCGGGTGCAAAAGCTGAAGCAGGAAGTCCTCTTCCTGCATTGCAAGCTGAGTTTGGTAATTGAGCACCTTAATAGCTCAGGGTTTGGAGCTACAGTTAATTACACCTCTAAAATTAAAGTCTCTTTAAAATCATGTGCTCTACTTAACAAAGAACTTTTTTTCTTGGTTTTGGGGCTAATTAGCTGCATTCACCTTTTTTTCCTGATGCTGAGCTCACAGTAGGTCTCCACAACTGTTGAGAGGCAGTTTGAAAGCCCAGTATGTAGTGGTTGGTAGAGGAAACTCTCCAGTGAACTTTCCTCCTCTGGGTCTTCTTACAGTCTTGGGCAGACAGCAGACAAGCTTGTGCCCGACCTAGTGATGGGCTGGAGAAGGTGCCAGCACTACACGATGGGTCAGCTTCAGAAGCTGAGCCTGGGTGAGGTTCATCAGGACCCAGCTGAACCCTCTGCCTGTCTGTAGGGGATATCAGGACTTCTTGTCTGATGTTTGGCTAGTCATGGCCTTCCTGTCAGCGTAAAAGTGACTCTGGGACTTTGAGAAGTGTCTACAAGTGACCCTCAGACCATTGCTGTACATTGCTGTGAGTGGACATGGTCCTCAGGGAGTTCCCAAAGGTTCCTCTGTGTGCTCTGCCATCTCAAGTACTGATGACATTTCTCCTAGACATTCACCATCCTATGGGTGGACATGGTCCTCAGGGAGTTCCCAAAGGCTCCTCTGTGTGCTCTGCCACCCCAAATACTGATGATGTTTCTCCTAGACCCTCACCCATCCCATGTATCATCCCCAGGGAGGTGAAACCTTGCTGATGCTCCATCACAGCCTCCTTCACTGTGGGACTGTGGTTACCAGCACAGCATCTGTCTGGTTTTCCTTTCTATCACATTAGAAGTTCCCCTGGGACATAAAGAGAGAGGAAAAACCGTCCCTCAGGAGGTTGCAGAGGTGTCTTCCTCCTTGGTTTTCCAAGGTGGCTCCTGATTATCCAAGTTTTGTGTCCAGGGCACATCTACACATAAGTATTCCTTTGTGTGCATGGTAATGCTTCCAAGGGAGTGCTTGTAGATCCAGAAACTCTTCCTGGGGAAAAGGGCAGGGGTGAGACCCCTGGAGTGAGTGCGTCTTTCTCCGTGAGAGTGCCTTTGGCTTGCTCCAGGGTGGCCCAGTCTTCTTCTGCCACCTGCATGTGGTGGTTTGGTCCCTCCCCATGGGCTCGAGGGACCATAGCAGGAGGATTGTAGCAACGGGAACTCACACCAAACTAGATGGCACCCATATTTTCTCCTCCGTCCTTCACGGGTTGGAAAAGGCAAAGAGCAAAGTGCTGCTTTATGGGGTTTCTCTCCCGTAAGGATGCGCTTGTGGCTTTGAAGAATGAAAGCTGGTGGGGCTGGTGTGGGTCTGCTGCCTGGTTAGCCTTCTCCTGACACCCTCCGTGATCTGAGGGTGCCCGTAGTGGGCGGCTGGGAGAAGGAATGAGTGTTTTCTTCTTCTCTTTCATGTCAGCGCTCCTGCCTGCTTCACCAAAGTGCACGTTTATGCCTTTTTTTTGGTCTTTCCAGGCGTTGCTTTTAACTTCTCGATCAATGGGTGTAGCTCTGTAACAGGCTGAGGACTTGTCTGGGCCTTTTTGTGATCTGCTCCAAGTTGTGTCGAGGTGACGCTGCTCTACAGGGGCTTCTGGTAAGGATGCGCTTGTGGCTTTGAAGAATGAAAGCTGGTGGGGCTGGTGTGGGTCTGCTGCCTGGTTAGCCTTCTCCTGACACCCTCCGTGATCTGAGGGTGCCCGTAGTGGGCGGCTGGGAGAAGGAATGAGTGTTTTCTTCTTCTCTTTCATGTCAGCGCTCCTGCCTGCTTCACCAAAGTGCACGTTTATGCCTTTTTTTTGGTCTTTCCAGGCGTTGCTTTTAACTTCTCGATCAATGGGTGTAGCTCTGTAACAG